AGCAGGAACCGTTCCTGTGAAGGCCACTCAGCTGTGCAGAAGTGGGGAGGCCCAAACAAAATGAAAAACTTTTGGTGTAGATGTGTAAAAAGTAAAGTACAGACGGTCTGAGATAATATCTCTAGAGGACTGCCCTATAAGTAACATCTGCAAAATGGAGTGCAAAGATCTGACTGTGGTGGTAAAGGCAGCTCGCGCTAAAAGCTGCAGAGAGACAGATCCTGTCATATGGAAAGATGTTGCTTCCCTCATTTTGTGCCACATCTGCTCAGGACAAATACCATAAAACTTGGTACTAAGAGGAATTCTGGGATTACTGGCTTCAGTTTCTGGAGAGAAGCCAGAGCAGTGCTGCTAGCTACTGTAGTTTTAAGGGATGATGCGCTGTACAGGTACCCTTTTTGCATCAAAATGCAGGCAGAGGGCAGAGCAAGGACCTGGAGGATTTCATCTTCGCAGTGACCAGAGTCCATGAGCAATCTGACCTGTTGGCAGCCACTTGCTGAAGAGATTGCTGTAGCATCAGAAATTTGCCCGACCTTTCATCTCTTGTCCATACTCGTGTGACAATCGGTGCTTTATATACAAGTTGCTGGCTAGAGTCCTGCACTAGAAACGTGCTAGGAGGGAAAACTTGGAGTATTGTTATTGTTTGTCAGAATGAACCTAGTTGCAACTGGCTGAAGTTTCTTTCTGCGAGACATTCTTAGCCTGAGAATCCCACAAGCCAAACCGTGTGTCCTGGTTATGATTTAGTACCATCTGTACTCTCCAAAAGCCGTGAAAACGTCCTATGCCATAGTAAGTCACTGGCACTGCAGCTTCCCAGAGATGGTTGTGCTTTATAGTGATGTTGTGTTACGTCGTTCTCACAAAACTAGGAGATTTTGTAAGCTGGTTTTAGGGATGCAGGTCTGCCTGCTCTGCACACCAGAAGAGATCTCTCTTAAAGTCTCTATTTTTTTGTTGACCTCTATGACCACTGAGAGGGAGAGGGGGTTAGAGCAGATGCTTCCTCCCTGTGGATGACTATGTCAAGGTCAGCAGTGCAGACAGGAGGAAGGGCAAAACACAGAGTTTAGTGCTGTGAATTGTAAGGACCTGGGACAGGAGGGGTACTACAGCGACAACTGTTGAGAAACCTGGTAATAAATGGCAGGTGTTCGCAGCAGGGTGCAAAAATACAATATAAGAAGAGGGGATTTTGGTGTGGAAAAGGCAAGGGCTTGGAACAAGAGCTACAAAAAAATCAGGCTGGAGGAGGGTTGAGAATAACGAAGAGAATCATAGAATCATAGAATGTCAGGGGTTGGAAGGGACCTCTAGAGATCATCTACTCCAACCCCCCTGCCAGAGCAGGATCCCCCAGGGCAGCCACACAGGAATGTGTCCAGGAGGGTTTTGAAAGTCTCCAGAGAAGGAGACTCCACAACCTCTCTGGGCAGCCTGTGCCAGTGCTCTGTCACCCGCACAGAAAAGAAATTTATCCTCACATTGAGGTGGCCACTTGAGGAGTGGGCCTTGAGATGGGAAAGATCAAGGTGATACATGAAAGAAGGTTTGGGGTAATCTGAGGTAGGAGGGAGTGGGAATAATGGAATATATTTGTTATGAGAAGCATGGGAGTCTGTGTCCCACAGCCTCTATGGGAAAAAACAATTGTGAGAATGTGAAAAGTTGACTTAAAAGGGTCTTGTGAAGAGTTGGAGGTCCCTGAGGCTGTAACAAGGGTGTGTGTCAACAATCTTGTAAGTGCTGGGCTCTGGGACAGAACAATGTGGAGGGGAGGAATTCCCAAGCACGTCCCAGTAGGGTGTCTGCTCTGAGATGGGGATGCACTCAGAGGACCACCTTGTCCTCTTGCTCCTGCAGCGTTTTGGTTTTGGAGATACAGCGGCACTAATCCTTCTGCTTTTTTAAATTAAGGTGCCACTGGCATTGAGGATCGCCTGCAGGAGGGTGTTCCAGACACAATACAGGCATTACGGAAAGCGGGGATAAAAATATGGATGCTGACAGGTGACAAGAGAGAGACAGCTGTCAACATTGCCTATGCTTGTAAACTGCTGGAACCAGATGACAGAATCTTCACGCTCAAATCACAGAGCAGGGTGAGTGAAAAATTATGCTTTTCTTCAGATTTTCTTTTTTAGTTCTCTGCTGAAAAAATCAGTCAAGCTGTACCGCAGGACAATACAGAAAAAAATAAAATACTCTCTGTTTTCTCAACTGGTTTCTTGGAAGATGAAAACACTGGAAAACTTTCAGTTTGCTTCCTTGTGGGTAAAATGTGAAATCTTTTCTATGTATGTGACATCTGTTTCTTCATATACAGTTTGCAAATGGTGATTAATTATTTTAATTAAGTAGACTGCTTAATTTCTCTTTGTGGTAGCTGGAGAGTTGACATGCTTCAGAGAGTCTAAATGGCTGTGAGTTACAGCATATAAGCAATGTAAGTATTATTGTCATGCAAATTCTATTGAATTAGGTTTCGTGCTGCTTTGTGTAATATATTCCCTCAGCCCTGCCTGTCTTGGATAAACATACAAACAATTGCCTCATTAAAGTTCATTGCACGCTATTCAAGAAAACTGATCTGCCAACAATTTTTTCAGAGAAAAAGCCACCTTCTCCCCACCACCCACTAACTGAGTCCTGTGATAGCGGTTAAAAATGCTGCTGTTTTGGGTAGCGAGTTTAATCCTACTTGATTATTATGTCCTCTTGTGGATGCTTATAATAAGTTGGTTTTCAAATCTTGATTTTTATCAGTTGTGAGTTTCTTAAGAAAGTAATTACTAACTGTAACTGGTAAAGCCAACATATGAAATGTTTCTCTTCAAAGCAGAGATGTTAAATCTGAGACTTCTCTAAAGGACCAGAGGATTTTTCACTAGTACCTCTTGTTTTGGTTTTTTTTCTCTGCTTATACATTACTTTAGAAGTGACTTAAAAGATGTGCCTTAAAAGATGGTGCCTTAAAAGATGTGCCTTAAAAGATGGTGTAGCAACTGGTAACTGTGGGGAAGATAAAGTGAAAATCAAAGGACCAGAAGGCCAATCGCATCCTGAGCTTCATCAAAAGAAGCATGGCCAGCAGATCAAGAGCAGTGATTCTGCCCCTCTGCTCTTTTCTTGTGAGACCTCACCTGCAGTACTGTGTCCAGCTCTGGAGCTCCCAGCACAAGGACACGGACCTGTTGGAGCAGGTCCAGAGGAGGGCCACAAAGATGATCAGAGCGCTGGAGCAACTCCCCTGTGAGAACATGCTGAAGGAGTTGGGGTTGTTCAGCCTGGAGAAGAGAAGGCTCTGGGGAGACCTTACAGCAGCCTTCCAGTACCTGATGGGGACCTACAAGAAAGCTGGGGAGGAGGGACTGATCACAGGGGTGTGTAGCAACAGGATGAGGGGCAATGGTTTTAAACTCGAGCAGGGTAGATTTAGACTAGATATCAGGAAGAAGTTCTTTACTGTGAGGGTGATGAAACACTGGCATAGGTTGCCCAGAGAGGTGGTGGAGGCCCCATCCCTGGAGACATTCACGATCAGGCTTGATGGGGCTCTGAGCAACCTGATCTGGTTAAAGATGTCCCTGCTCACTGCAGGGGGGAATTGGACCTTTAAAAGTCTTTTCCAAAGCAACACATTCTATGATTTTTAGTCCACTTATGTTTAAGAAAAGCTTGGGATTTGACTTTTGCTGGAACTTTTTTCTTTTTTCATACTTGGGAATGAGTGTCTTAACAGTGAGAACTGAGCGCCTTTTGCAGAAGTGCTCATCCTCTCTCTAAATGGATTTTGAAACAAAAAATATTCAAGTTTTGCTACTGTTGCATTTCAAAGTAAAATAATGAGAAGCTTTGCATGCCCAACAAAAGAAATGTATTGAGGAAAAGTCTTCTATAAAAGGTGTATTTAAATTACAGAATTCTTAATAGTTGTTTTTTCTGCTACTCTATTAACATTTTCTGATTTGCTGTTTTCTCCCTTCTCTTCGTACAGTACCCAAGCCAATGTACTTAAGCAAAGTTAAATCACAGGCCCTTTTGTTAACAACAGACTGCATCCTTTGTGATTTTAATGGGATATTCAGCCTTATGTTTGAGCCTTTTTGGCCTTGTTACACAAGGGCAGCATTTGACCTTTCTCCATATGTATTTTATATATCCAAAAGGGATCCGGAACAGAAACAATATTTAATAAGTTGCCTTTCTCTTGTCTTTCATTAGGATGCCTGTGCCTTGGTGATGAGCAAAATTTTAGAAGGCATCCAGAAGAATACTTCTGCCAAAAAAAAACCCAGCCAGAAACTTGGGAATGTCTCTGCAAGTCTCTCCACCCAAGCTCCAGGGTTCAGTGCAGGCCTGGTTATTGATGGAAGGACTTTAGAGCATGTCCTTCATGACAGCCTGCAGAATGCTTTCTTGGAACTCACAGAAAAGTGTCGGGCTGTGGTCTGCTGCCAAGCCACTCCACTGCAGAAGAGTGTCCTGGTCAGACTGGTACGGAATAAGCTAAAGGCAATGACATTGGCTGTAGGTGAGTCCTGTGGTTATCTTCCTTCCTCTGAAAAGGAGTAGAAGACAATTTCTTCTTCCTTATATTTTTGTTATTTACTTGACAAGCAAGATAATTAACTTGACAAGCAAGATAATTTTCCTGGCTTGATCTAAAAAGAACCAATTCCATTCAGTGATTTTACTTTTCAGCTCAGTCTCTTCTAAGAGGCTGCACTTTCTGAAGTTAGGAGCATGTTTTTGCAGACAGTGTCTGCTGCTAGCCGTGATAACACCTCCTCTTTAGAGTTATTAGTGCCAGGGATTGGTATGCACAGAGGCTCTTGCTTAAACTTGCTCCTGTAGTCACCAAGGTCACTGCTGGATGTTGTGTGCCACGCTGAGGTGCCAGGATTGCAAGGAGGTCACACCACTAGGGAGGAATGGACATACGGGTGACCCAAACCTGACCAAGAAAGTATTCGTAGAATCATAGAACAATTCAGGTTGGAAAAGACCCTTGGGATCATCGAGTCCAACCATTAACCCTACACTACAAGTTCACCCCTAAACCGTATCACCCAACACCCCATCTAAACAACACTTGAACACATCCAGGGACGGCAACTCAACCGCCTCCCTAGGCAGTCTGTTCCAGTGTCTGACCACTCTTTCTGTGAAGAATTTCTATTCTGTACACGTTGTATTCAGTATAAATCTGAGGGATCACAGGGGTTAGGTCCTCTTCTTCTATGACAGGTGTCTGAGAAGGACTCTCTGCATTTTTCAGTCTTCGATCACAATATTTGAGTTCCCAAATCCAGCTCCTGTGTCCGGTTCCCCTCTGCTGCTGAGCCTGGGACTTCCCTAGTGCCGCCGGCTCTGCAGCATCAACGGGGATGGGATCAGTGGTGAGCTGTTGAGGGGAGGAGTTGGGTTCAATATCATGTTTGTATATAGTTTGTATATATTTCATTATTTTCACTATTTTCATTATTACTTTATCAGTACTATTATTGTTTTATTAAAGTTTTCCAATCCACAAGTCTCTTCTGCCTTATTCTCTTTCTCTTCCCCTTTGAGAGGGAAGAGAGGTTGAGAGCATCTGTTATTTGTTTAGTGGCTGGCCTAGCCCTAACCCCTGATGATAATCCTTTGAATTATAGTTGTCTCTGACATAAGATGATGCTAGTCTTCTGAACTAGCAAAGTTGGTCAATAAACTTATGGTAATAAAAAGCAACAAGAACAGCAGCAGTCATGCACAGTGTTATGTAACGTGTCCAAAGGAGCAAGTAAAGGGATTTTCTGTGTCATTCTTCATCAGAAACCGCCAAAATAGGGATAGAGAGAGGAGATGACTGGCTGTGATTTAAACACCCTGTTTTCTCTTCCAGCATACCCACTAAATTCTGACAAAAGGAACAGCTAATATCCATTTGGAGATTATAGCTCAGATCAGTCAGGCCTTCTGCTCTACTAATCCTGCTCTCTGTAGGATTTTCCGTAGGCCGTGCTGTTGGCCATGAAAATGAACGCTCTGGTGTTCTTTTGTATTTGTCTTCTCCTGCCACCTCCATGGCAATGCAGTAGCCAGCAAAGCTGCCTTCAGGTTGCATTCTTAATAAGAGAAGTTAGGTTTTGGTTTCCGTTTTTTCTGTAGGTGATGGTGCCAATGATGTCAGTATGATCCAGGTGGCCAACACTGGTGTGGGAATATCGGGCCAAGAAGGCATGCAGGTAGTGTATACAAAGACAGCTGCAAATGACATCAGATTCCATTTTAAACTGGTTCAGAGTTTGCCCCGAAGGCTGGTGGCTCCACAGTCCATTACCGAATGTAGGCAAGAGTTTGTGGCCTGAGCTCACACCCAGGCCTCAGCACTCTTGCAGGAGCGCTCAGAAGCTGAATTCTGCAGGGGTTCATTCTCCAAGTGGCAGAGCTTGCTGCCTGTCACCAAACTCCCTGTTACTCATGTCCTGCTGGGAATACAAGCAGCCCTAAGCAGCAGTGCTTTCTGTGCAGTTGGGTGATAATAATAAGGGCAGCTGTGTCCCTGCCTGTGTTGTGCTGGGCTGCGCTGTGGGTGTTCGTGTGAAATAATGTGCAGAGGGAGTGAGGGTAAGGCCATAAACACTGTGTATAAAATAATCATAAAATAACCGTTTCCAGTAGTAGGTGAGTTGCTCACTTTGTAGTATCTGAAATTTGTCTTTAACAGTTCAGATACAACCTGTCTTTTCTTTCCTCTGCCTTACAGGCCGTGATGGCAAGTGACTTTGCAATCTCTCAATTTAAACACCTCAGGAAGCTGCTGCTTGTCCATGGTTACTGGTGTTATACCAGACTTACCAACATGGTGCTTTACTATTTCTACAAGAATGTGGTATGTAGCTGTGCCATCCCAGGGAAATTCACAGTTTTCATATTTGAGAACACTGAGGACTTCATATTCTTTTTTTGTTGCTATCGTGAATGCATTCAAAAAGACACAAAACGCATGTGCCAAACAATTCAGTTTCCCACTCATGACTGCAGGGACCAGAGACTCCTTCTCCTTTGATTGAATTTCCCACTCAAAGCCATTGTCTGATTTGATTCGGCAGTGACTAACAGACATTACTAATGTGGTGGCAGCATGACTATTTAAGTTGTGTCCAATTTTGGAATGTACAGCTGTGTCCTAGTCAAATATAACTTCAAAGTGTGGGATTGGCAGCAACTCCACAGCATTTAGACTTAATTTTCCGCAGATTACTCTAACCAGACCCAAGATCTGCCCATTTTCCTCCTAGCTTTTAAAATACTTGTCTGCGGGTAACATTTTACCATATTGTCTTTGATTTTTCAGGCCTATGTGAACCTCCTGTTCTGGTACCAGTTCTTCTGTGGGTTTTCAGGCACATCAATGACTGACTATTGGATCTTGATTCTTTTCAATCTTCTTTTTACATCGGTGCCACCCATCATTTATGGTGTCTTGGACAAAGATGTGCCTGCGGAGATCCTCATGCAGCTCCCACAGCTGTACATGATGAGCCAAAAATCTGTGGTAGGTTAAAGAATGCTCAGCCTGAAGCAATTTGAAATGGTCAACACTTGGGCCATTTCTGTCTTTCTTCATGGTTCACATCAGGCAAACACGAAGTTTGAAACCACTTTAGAAAAACATCTACGCCTGTGTACAAATAAAAGATGTTTTTTCAAAATATTTTTAGGCTCTTTTCAGACATACACACAATCTTACCAGGCATTTGGATGATAAGAGAAATGAAGGACTTCAGGTGAAGCAGTGTACTGGATAAACATCATTACCAGCATGTTCACTTCGTTCACGGCCTCACCTGTCAACATACTTCCTCAAAATGAGTTTCTTTGGAGCATATAGGCTTATTTTTAAATATAAGGGCACTAGATACTGTTTTTTCACTATCATATAAGGGTCTCAGCTCCCAAAGGAATGAGGGATAGGTAAGAACCAGACCAGATTACTTTCAAATAATCCTCAAGAAAGTCCTGTCATTCAGGGTTCTTTTCCTCTTATGGGTATGTTCTGGAATTTGGTGGTGGTACTTTTCTCCCACCTGAAAGCACTGTACGTCACATCTGCTCTAGAAGTGAATTCTGTCCTGACATTCAGCGTAGAAGACTGCAGGGAGCGGTTTCTAAATCAAAATTACATAAATTAGTAAGCTTTCCGTGGGTTTCTGCTTTGCTTAGCATGAATTCTAGCATAATTTTAATTTGATCATTTTTTTAAATTTAACAATTAAAATAGTATTTTTAATTGTAACAGTTAAAGGCAGTGACATACTGAGTCTGAGACATACTGGCAGTCCAGAGAAAGGAAACATTGAGCATGAGTCACCTAAACTTCACCATTTCTTATATGATCATGGCCTTTCAAAAACAGACTGGTCATTGGGAAGCATTTCTTCACCAAGAAGATGGTCAAACTCTGGAACAGGCTTCCTAGACAGGTGACTGATGCCCCAAGTCCGGCAGTGTTTAAGAGGCATTTGAGTAATGCTCTTAATAATAGGCTCCTACTTTTGGTCAGTGCTGAATTAGTCAGGCAGTTGGACTAGATGATCATTTTAGGTCCCTTGTACTGGAATATTCTATTCTATTCTATTCTATTCTATTCTATTCTATTCTATTCTATTCTATCCTATCCTATCCTATCCTATCCTATCCTATCCTATCCTAACAAATACTGTTAAATAAAATGAGCTACTACATGTTGTGTACTAGTTGTACAGTCTCATCTGTATAACCTGCAGAAGTCCAGGTCTGGTTTAGAAGAGAAAGCAGGTTATACAGTGAGGGAGCAGATTATTTTGTTTGTTTGTGGACTTTTACATTTCTTTTCACATACCTATAAATATTTTACATTGCTTGGTTTATGATATTATTGCAAAACTAAGTACTCTCTTGGTACCAATCCAAGCCTCTGTAGACTGGCTGGAGCAAGTTTGTTCTTTTTCAGTCACAGAAAGTTTTGATTAAGTAAAGGTTACAAGGCCTCGGAGACTGGCCTTTTGTTTTTGATCTTCAGCGTATGTATGTTAGTCTGAGATGAAGGTTTTGAGGCAACATAATCAGAACTACCGCATCGCACAATAGTTTTTCTTTCAGCTTTTTTTTTTTTTCTATACTACTCTACTGGATTTTTTCACTTTTGTCCAGCACAGCATTGCCTTTCTCTGTGGTTGGACTTGCCAAGTAGTAGTTTCCTTTGTTGCATGGAAGCGTAGTGAAATAACTGCTTTGAATTCAGTGCAGTATAGAAGGAAGAGAAATGCTTTGAAAGATGTAATATTGCTGTATTGCACCATGACATCACGAGTGCACGGCTCTGCACAAGCTGTAAAAAATGACAGTAACTTCGGTAATTTAAAGGGTAATTTAAAGCCCTGGCTCAGGCAAATAAGAAGATAAGTTTGCCCCACTGCCTCCAGAGAGCAGTTCAGATCTTAAAAGGGCTGTGAATGGCTTTTTGGAGAAACCCATCCCTTTCCACTAATTGCAGACTGGGTGACTGCACTTTTCGCTCGTGTCTCAATTCAGCTCATGAAGGAACAGGGTGTGTGCAAGCCAGGGACCGTGCAACGATGACTTCGGAAGCAGTTGAGCTGTCATAGCAGTTTGCTGCCACTGAGGGAGGAAGGCTCTTCCCTTCTACTCTTCTGAGTTTTTTTGTCTCGTTCACTGTTTTCACCCATGTAGTTAAAACTACTTCCCTTGTGCCAGCTTAGTTGTCCCACCACATCCTTCCAGGAGCTGATTTAACTCCCTAAACCAGCAACATGTTACTCCAGCAGAAAAGCGAGTTAATTTCTCATAATCTAGCAAGTGAAGTTAGCTCACAAAGGGGTCTGGTCCATGCAGAGTCAACCAGCACAAATTAAGAGGCTGGAGCACACATACCGAAAAGAAGGAGATGGAGACAGAAGAAAGCAGGAGTTGGCATTCAGTGATGTAACTGCTGGGGTAACTCGCTGTCCCCTTCCTCAGCCCTTGGGTGAGGCTCTGCCATGCTGGCACAAACAGCTGTTAAGATTGGAATTCCCAGACCGGGCTGCTGCTTTAAATCCTAACAGCTACATGTGTGGAATCAGCTCTTTATTATCGTAACACAAAAGATGCCACTTCATTTGGAAACTAACTGGAATTACTCGTGCAGATAATCTTTCCCCAGATCAAACTAATGCTAATTAAGAATGCAGCAATTTGTTCAATTGGTTTAATGCTGGTATCTTTTTTCTTACAGGCTTACTCACCTTCAACTTTCTGGATAACCTTGCTGGATGCTTTTTACCAAAGTCTCATTTGCTTCTTTGTGCCTTACTTTGTAAGTGCTTGATGTGAAATGTGTTTATACATTTTGGCAAACTAAAAGCCAGGTAAATTAGAGAATTAAATGTTTGATTTTACTTCCTCATATATAAACGCATACGACATCACTGGAACTGAGCTGAACTGTATGTACACAAATATCTGTGGTATTGAAACTATTAACATCACTGTGTATTAGGGCCACATGTAAAGAATATATTACACTGACGGCTGTCTTCCTTTGCAGACTTACCATGGCTCAGACATAGACATTTTCTCTTTTGGAAACCCTATAAACACAGCGGCGCTCTTCATAATACTGTCTCACCTTCTCATTGAGTGCAAATCGATGGTGAGTACTTTTGTTTCCAAAAGAGTATATTCCTGATGGAGCATGTGCATGCAGCTATCCTTAAAATTTAATGGAAGAAAGAGCTTCATATACAAAACAGAATAAGTATAAAAGGGCCAAAAATGACACATTTTGTTCATGCGACCATGTCAGCTTTCCTAATGCACCTGTTATCAGAGCCAGTAGAATGAGCCATATGACAAATATTCACAGCATTTGGCCTCAGAATTATTTGCAAATAGTGAAAGGATCCTGCCCTGTTAGGCTGCTGTGGTTTTGGGAAAGTCGATTTAGTTTTGCAAATGGTAAAGCCAGCCAGTGATCTGCTGGGCATTCGTTAGTTCCCAAAGCTTGCATCTTGAAGACAACAATGTGAGCTGTTGGTTTTGAATGCTTGGAACTGATGATCTCCTCTGCAGCCAGGATAAACAGTTCAGAGGTGTATTTTGGTGCCAGAACTAGAGAACTAATATGCTACAGAAACGCCATTCCAGTTTTTAATTAAGTCTGTAAGCTAAAGCATCTGCATTAGCTTGGATAAATTTACAGCCCTTACAAGTATAATACTTGGCTTTTTAACATAATTTTAAAGAAAATACAATAATATTTACACTAGAAGGACATAGATTAATGGGGTTTATTTTTTCTCTGTCATTATTTTGAAAAACATTTTTTTTTAGGATTGTTTCATAATAGATGAAATTTCAAGTTGTGATTCCATCTTTTCATTGTTCTTTTGGAAGCGTGGCAGCAGCGATAAAAATGTCTTTATTGAGAATATTTGGATAGCAAGAGTGTATCCATGCTCTGAATAGGAGGACATTACTTAAGTGGGTTTTATTTGGCATTTGTGAATGTTGGCAAGCTGTCAGACCAGCGGCGGTGTTGTTTCCATAGTAAATATTCTAGCTGTTTAGGCATAAAATTACAGAAAACTCCAATGTAGAACAGTTAATCAGTGTCTCAAGCAAGATACATCAGGGTGGTGTTATGTGAAGGTCTCACCTGTTTGCTCCAGAAGGCTTTCTCTGCTGCCTCTGGGTGAGGTGACCACCTAAGGCCAATGGCACGCAAAGTGTCTGTCACAGAGGGATCAAAAGCTTTGCGTCTAGTAGAGTGAAAAAAAATTAAATGGCTGGGTTACATAGGAGTTGTGGGAAGAAGAAGGCTCCATTCTTCCTGCAATGTTGTGTATAAAATTAGGAATATTATTTCAACAGATGTGGCCTGTGTT